AGCTGGTGCTGCCCGGGGGCATCGACCCGCACACGCACCTGCAGCTGCCCTTCATGGGCACCCGCTCCGCGGACGACTTCCTGCGAGGCACCCAGGTAGGACGGGGCCCCGCCACTGTCGCCCAGGAGGGACCCGACCCAACTGTGACACAGGCAGGACGGGGCCCCCAGAATGTCACCCCGCGGGGACCCAGCCCCCTCGGAGCCGCCCGGGCTTGGGATCCCCGCGTCCCCCAGCCGCACTCCTGTGTCCCGGGGGACGGAGACCCACAGCCCGGCTCCCCCGCCGGGCACCTGCGGCTGAGTAGGAGCGCGCTGCCCCAGCTGCGGGACGGCGGCGCTGCACCGGCAGGCGGTGCTACCCCAGCTGTGAATCCCCAGCCGGAGTGTGGGGAACCCGCGAGTCCCCGCCGGCTGGCGCCCTCGCACCTGCCGGGCTCCGGACCGCGCCGTCCCCAGAGCCGGCCCTGAGGGCTCAGGGGTTCCCAGGAACCGCAGCCTCCTCGCAGCACCGCTCCTCGCCCTGCTCGGGAGCTGCCCCCAGGACTCAGCGGAGGAAAGGCAGGCGTCCGACCCAGGGGAGGCCGGGTGTCCACGGCCCGAGTGAGCTCTGCAAGCTGCTCCCTCTGCTCAGGGACAGGGACCTCCCCCTCCTCAGCAAGGCTTCGCAGGACGCGTCAGCGCCTGCCCTAGAAACTCCAGCTTTGTTCCCACGATCCAGCCCCCTTCTGCTACCAGCGAGTAAGACGTGCTGACTGCTAACAGCTCGTGTCTGCATGTGAGTGGGCGTCAGCTGTCAGCACAACTCTCGATGATAGAAAATTAGAACAATGATAGAGAAGTGGAAAGAAGAAAACATATCACCAACACAGTCCTGTCCGAGCAGCCAGTGTCCCCGTGTTCTTTACACTTGGGATGTGCTTCGGCTGCGATAGTGCCCGAGTGTGTGTGCGAGTGTGCACTGAACAGTAGGTGTCACCGGGTGTTTTCTGTGGCGTTACCACAACTCGGGCGTGCAGGACCCCCCAAGAGCACCCCAGCTGAGGGACCGACATGCGAAAGGGTTATGCGCCAGCTGGCCTTTGTGAGCTGAGGTTGTCAGGACGCCACACAGAAACGCACTCTTCCTGAGCTGGGCCTCTGAAGCAGAAAAGGCTACCAGAGGCCGAGGTCAGAGGTCCAGCAAATGCCACTTCCTGCAGGCATCAAACGAGCTCCCGGAGGGACTGTGTGAGGCTGCGTGGAAGCGGGTTGGTCGCTCTGGGAGGAAGCACTCGCACCCGCAGCAAGAGCACAGCCCTCTCCCGACGTCTGCCCAGGGGTCACGGAGATCCCCAAGGATCTCTGGGTTGAGAAATTCGGGACAAAGCGCCGGGATCGTGAATCCCGGTGATATATAGTAGACGTCCAACTTGGAAGTGTGTTCTTACTAAGGCTGCTAGGTAACACTCGTCTTATCAGGTACCTGCCTCAAGACTGGAGCCGAGCTGAGTGGTGCGCTGTTCTCCCGGGTGCCGTTTTCTAGCTTTTATGACAGAGGAAACTGATACAAGTTACCTGCCCCAAGTTACCTGCCTGATGCCGCACACCTAGGAAGCATGGAAGTGGCCCTGCAAATTCAGTGCTTCCGGATTCCATTCCTAGAACTCGTACCTATCAGTCTCGAGGCCTTTGCAAAGGCACTTTATGTTCAGGGTTGTCAGAGTGGCCCTTGATAGATGGACAGAAGTCCGTGTACGATGCATGTTGATGAGATAAGGCTGGCCTCAAAAATACAGCGGAGCCATCCGCAGGAAATACAGCAGCCCTTCACCTCCGCAAAGCGGGGAGAGTGAGGTTATTGCAATGAATGCATACCACGGGCACTAAATTCGTAAGACGTTTGCACACACATTTACAGCTGTGTCTTCTCCGAAGGTACAGAAATGGGCGCCTTAAGTACAGAAAACCATAAAGTAAAAATGATAGATTATGCTTTCAGGACGCAGGCTCCGAAAGGTTAGACCAAGAGCTATTGGCTTTCTGCATTCACCGCGCTGATCATTCATAATATTTGACAGCTAGAAGGGATGCTGTTTGTGGTGTCCTGTTTATTGATCACTTGATTATAAGGGGACCCAATTCAAAAAATGAAATGTAGGTCAACCAAAGGTTACATGTGTTGTAAATCTAATTCATGTCAGACTTTGGTTTAAAGCCTATAATTGATTTATGTAATTATAGGTAAAAGCTTTCTCTCTGATATATATAACTAATGGAAATAATGTTCCACTTTAGAGAAATCCTATTTCACTTTGTTCTACACTAGATGGACGGTGGTCTTCCAATAATTCAATATCCATGAGGAAGGACAATGGGATTTCTTATTTGCTGGATATTGTGAATTCAATAAACTCGAAGGAGTCATGACTTTGCTTTTACTACATCCTATGATAAGAGTGAATTATAAGAGTTCAGCAGGTTTTTAAATATATAGATTTATATCCAGACATATGCACAGCTTGGAAGGGGTGGACTTACATTAAAAAGCTGACTGAGTCAGTAGCTGGCAGTAAGGTCCTCTTTAAAAATTAGGAAAACACTTGGCATGCTTTATTTTTCTAGTAAAGTACAAGAAATTCTCCATGTTATTGAGAAAGGAAATTACATTTTGTTTAGGAACATTTTGGTGAAACGCCACTGACGTGATTACTGAAGAACATGTGATTCAGCACACAGTCACGGCTGTATTTACAGTGCTTTCTCACCTTGAGGAGCCCTGCAGCAACCCTGAAATCCTTTTTCCTGTTTTCGTCCACCCGAGCTGGGCTTCAGGGACGGGGTTATGGGCTGAGGGTTTCCTGGGGCCCAGCACTGCTTTGTGTATAGAATGAGGTCTGGATTGGAAATGGATAAACAACTTAATGAAAAAGTTGTTAAACATGAATATATTTATTGTCCAGCCCCTAGTGAGGTGCTGGAGCATTATGCTTATTCAGTATACATTAGTTGAATGAATAGATTTCTTTTTATATAAAAAAAAAAGGAAAACACAGAAAAAAATTAAAAACCAATATTTAAATATCCTACCCTTTGCTACCCTTCTTTTAGATTTTTCCTTCTAAGGCAGCATAGAAACATGTTTTTCAGTACTGAGAATCAACCTCAGTGCAAGCTACCACTGAGCCCCTTTTATTTTTTAGTTTGAGACAGGGTCTTGCTCAGCTGTCCAGGTCTGCCTTGAACTTGGGTCCTCCTGCCTCAGCTTTGTGAGTGGCTGGGGTTACAGGCCTGCACCACCACCTATAACTAAACCTTCTCCTGTTTGGCGTTAAACAAGTCACTGGAGAAGGTTACTGTACACCCCTTGTCCTCTCAGAGACCGAGCCCGGCTCTCCTCTCTGGCCTCAGTGGCTCCAGGCCTGGGGCTGTATGTCCTCTGTCTTTGGGTTCCACACCCCGGATGGCCCAGCAGGACCTCAACTCTGCAGGCCGTAGACTGGAGTCAGCCCTCCAGGGCCGATCTGCTTCCTCCCGGCCTCTCACCATTGGGGGCGGCTGCACGCTCGCTCCTCCACTGCAGGGTTCTGTGGGCTCTGGCTTTGCGTAGGACTGAGCAGAGGGGTGGCCGACACACACGCGGCAGTGCCCTTTGAAACCACTCCCAGGCACAGCTGACCACAGGGGAGCAGAGCAGGACGATTCTGCGCTCACCCCACACTGCTTCCTGGCCATTGGTGGATATTGGCTTTTCAAACAAATCTATGCCAGCTTAACAGCAAAAATATGGAATTTCTTCATTTTTAAAAAAATTTTATGGAAAATTAAAATTTCATAACAAAATAATAGGAGAATAACACTAGTTATTTCACTTCATATTGCTATCTTCAAAGTAGTTACTCAGAATACAAGACACAGGCATAAAAAATTCTCCAAACAATATTAGCCCAAAAGATAACTTCCTTAATTACTGGTAAGGCTGAGCTCCGAATGTGTGTGCTCGTAGTTTGTAGGTGTGTAATTGCACACTTTTCCAGATGGAGCAGCTAATGATTGCAGTGTCAACCGTGACTATTCTGGGGGAGCGAAGAAGTCTCAGGTTAATTTGAAACCACTTGATGTTAAGGAAGGCTTGATTTTTGAGTGTTGGCCTTGTATCCGGCTATGCTACCAAATTTGGTTGTTAATTCTAGGAATCTCTTGGTGGAGTTTTTGGGGTCTTCTATGTAGAATATCATGTCATCAGTAAATAATGATAACACAACTTCTTCCTTTCCTATCCAAATTCCTTTTCTTTCTCTTGTCTGATTGCTCTGGCTAATGTTTCAGAACTATATTGAACAGGAGTGGTGACAGTGGACATCCATGTATTATTCCTGATTTTAGAGAGAAAGCTTTCAGTTTTTGACCATTTAGTATGATATCAGGTGTTGATTTGTCATAGATGGCTTTTATCAGATTGAGATAAAGGCCATCTATTCCAATTTTCTGTAGGGTTTTTAATCATGAATGGATGTTGGTCTTTGTCAAATGCTTTTTCTGCATTTATTGAGATGATCATGTGGTTTTTCTGGTCTGTTAACATGGTGTATTCCACTTATGGATTTCTGTATGTTGAACCATTCCCACATCCCTAGAATGAATCCTACTTGGTTATGGTGTATGGTCTTATTGATGATTTGCTGCATTCTGTCTGCCAGTATCTTATGGGGTTTTGCATACATGTTCATTAGAGAGATGGGCCTGTAGTTCTCTTTTTTGGTTGGATCCTTTTCTGGTTTTCCTATCAGGGTAATACTTGCTTTTAAGAATGAGTTAGGGACAATGAGTTTGGGAGTATTGCTTCTCTTTTGATTTCATTAAGTAGTTTGAAGAATAGTGGCTTTAAATCTTCTCTAAATTTCTTGCAGAATTCAGCAATGAATCCATCAGGACCTGGGACTTTCTTTGCTGGTAGGTTTTTAATTACACCTTCTATTTCATTATCTGATATTAGATTATTCAGACTTCTTATATCTTCTTGTTTCAGCATTAGAAGTTCATATGTATCTAGGAACCTTCATTTTTATTTGAGTTTCCCATCTTAATAGAGTACAGGTTCTCAAAATAGGTACTGG